CAGACTCTGATCAACATTCCCAGCACAAGGGTGAAGGGGGTGAGAACGCCAGCGTGAAGTGTGGAGGGTTCTCATGAAAGCCACTCAAAAGGGCACACCACACTACATTTAAGTAAGCAAGGAAAAATTGTTATAGTGAAGGCGTGATACGAGGATATAGGAGATGGGAATAGCCTGTGACAGGAGAGATACGACAACTTTTTATCACATATTTGGTCAAAGGATCGGCTTCACTTGTATCTTTGACAAATTGTAGTGATGCTAAGAATGGCAAGACATATTGACGATGCCGGCGAAACGTCTGGGAATGTACCACGTCCATGATCCGACTTTCGAAATGATCATGCATACAATGGACTCCGGACTAGGTGTGCTCCTCTAAGTCTTCCTACCAATATGAGCAAGTTGCGAAAACAAGGTTAAACAACTTGCATAAAACGAAAGGAGACTGCGACGACACAAAAGGCCACGCCATCTTGGTCTTCATACCTTCGATTAAAGATAGTTAGTTCGACCCATCTGAACGTTTTTTCTGTCGATTGCGTTCAAATCAACCTGGCTATCTAAAAGCTATGCACCTCTCCTAGAACAATGTTGAACCAGAGATTGGCTATAGTAATCTACATAAAAGTGATGGTCATCAAGTCCTGACGGATGAATTGCCCAAGACAGTGAAAAGGATTTACTGTTTCCAAAAGCTTTATCATCTGGAGCCAAGTATAGTTTCCATCTAGTCTCAGCTTCTTCAGCATCTCCAATCTAGATTGACAACATGGCTACAATCGGCCACATAAGTAAGAGTAGATATGAGATAACTCAGGCCTCCTTCACTGTAGACTCGAAGACGAGTGTGGATAAGACAAACCCACACTATAGTAAAATAAATGTGACAGAAACTACCAGGAAGCAATATAAAGACGGTTTCGAACGAATCCTACGCTAAAACCGGGCTTAAATCCTAAAGTTCACCCAGTATATGTATGCTTGGACTTCACTTGGAGTCCCACTGGCATCCAGAACCATAGCATGGAGCCATTCGATAAACGAAGCAACTAATTTTATCCTGATGCTAAGGCTTTACGGCCCCAGAATGCAAAAATAGGTACTATAAATGACCACTACGATAAACGATACCAATAATCCTTAAGTCCTCCGACTGCTTCATAGTACACGACATTTTACTCAGTTAAAGAGAGAGCCTCTTGTGTCAGATAAACGTCATTCTTTCGAGGTAGCAGAAAATGATACAGAGAGTAAAGAATTCTCTGACTTTAATTTATTAGGGGATATTCTTAAAGTCCTATTGAGCTATGTGGATGAGCCTCGTTACTTAGTTATGATGTTACTTTCCATTTCGTAGAAATATATGGTTGTTAGTTCGCGAAATGGTCTCATCGGAAACCAAGGAGGATTGAACGGAGTGAAGGCTGTCGGATTGTGAGGAGATTCCATGACTCACCGTTCTGCAAGCCCGTTGAACCCGTGATAAGTTTTCGCCTGATAAGTGACAGACATCCTCAGAAAGAAAAATCATTCTTTGATAAAAAATGAATTAAATGCAATAAAATAAGACCCATAGTTTCTTGGCTTGTATTTGATGCGCTTTTTCTTAAAGTATGGTTTCTAGCCCTCATGACAAATGAAAGTTTAGCACATATTCATCGAAGTCACAGGACTGTGAGCCAATCCTCCTTCGGGTTCTGACGGTACCAACTTACGAATTTCCTCTAATCAGCTTTTCCTTGGAAATGGAAGGTCATGTTATGTTAAATGGCATAGAAAATCTTAAAACCCAGTTTTTTTCATGCGTATACTCCTTACTGAATACCCAATACGGCTCTATCAAGTAGATGTATTCGTACCGTTTTCCTGCTTTAAAACGCATAAGGGCCTAAAAGTATCTAGAAGACACATATCACCTACAAACAAAAACGATAAGGTAAACCGATTTTGGGTCAATTCAATAAAAGATAGTGCACAAGACCCATTAGAATATCATAAAGTAGAGTGCCAATGAAGGAAATCGATAAGAAGTTTGCTTCTTGAATTTTATTTATTTTTCGTTTCTGAATTTTCCTTAAAACACAGCCCCGAAGGAGTAGACCCAAAACAATGATATTTTTCCACAGCTTAACATAACAGTCGAAGCGTTACGGGTGGTATTTGTCAAATGACATCGTTGCTACTTCGCCACCGCCACGATTATGAGCTCGTTACAAAGGATGCGCTAATTTCAATAAAAGTAGGAATCCTTAAAAATCGCATTTATAAAGGGATTTTAAATAAAAGCCATATTTTCTATAAAAATAAAGGAAATCACTACATACTAGGTAGGCCCTAAAAATAACAAGATATCTTAAATGAGACTTCGAATCACCCTTTTAAAGTAATGTCGAGGCTGATTGCTGTACATAGAAAAATTAACTTGGTCCTGATGAATATATTGAGATAACTTGTTGGCTGGCTCTAATTTCGCGTTAGTGCCAAAATAATATATTCTTGAATTAGCCTCATGCGGAAAATAAGAGATTGCCATTATTTAGTATTAGTTCAACGTTGAATGACATTCAGGTTGATGTAGTCCACGAAGCATCCACCTTCGATTCCGGTGAAGACAGGTTAGGCTTTCATCTGTCATATGACAAACAGAGCCGGATCTGACTCTTAGAAAGTGTTTAGACCAACACCAAATCGAGGCGACTGACGGCTGATCGTTGCATGCTAGATTTATGTTCAGATTGAGTGGACTCGTATGACACATTTGCTCACAGTAAAAAGGCAACTGAACTGATAGACATGCAAAGATAGACAAAGTAAATGTGCTAGTCATTATTCCTGTTAAGATAAGTACTTATATGTTTGAGTGCATGTGTGCACGAAACGAATAATATTAACTCGGAATCATTGGAAAATATGTAAAGATAGTCTAATGTTATATATGCTTAATAAACCAAGGAAAAGCATGACTGTGTCGGAGTAATACCTAACATACATCAGAGTTAATCAGCTCCTGCTGAAATCGGCCTATGAATCTCTTAATCAGACTCATATATACATTCTACGATGAAATTAAAGGGCCTCATGGTGCCATGCATTTCATCGAAAAACCTAGCTTACATTGAATGCAAAAGGTATGGGCAAATCGCGTAATAACGGCGGCCTCTAATAAGGTGCCTTATCAGGAGTCCTTTGCCGAGGTAGTCATGACAATTTCAGTAGGACCGTTGACGTGGTAGATCCACAGACCTGCTGGCATTGTTGGAGACATGCCTCAATCCACAATTTATCAGCGAAAAGTGAAGTCCATTCCTACACCATCCTGGGAATTATGGCTACTATGACACAGGACTGGTGACGAGGTGCACTCATCGAGGTTACTTGGCAATACGACCAAGTTGTGAAACGGAGTCAAATAACTTATATGCGGCGAAAGGAAATTGTGATCAAAATAAAAGAAACATCGTCTCAAAACTCATACTTAGAATGAGGCCCGAGCAAGCGTCTAATCCTTTTTATGATGAGAGTTTGAATAGCTGTTAGAGCAAACGAAATGGGATAAGCAATTCGATCAATTCAATCTTATTGGTCCCGACATTTGGATGTCTCGATTATACTGTGCTTTGTGGAAAAATAAAATGGGGCCCAATGCAGAATGACGTAATGACAAACATTTTACTCTACAATAGAATGGGGATAAAAGGCGTGAACGAAGAAAACCACATAAAACCAGAGAATGGGTTGCAACAAAATGTTGAAAGCGTGAAACTTAAAGAAGTCGCTAGAGATCTGAACCACAGAATGACTAGTTTCAGACATTAAAATCAGCCTGAATTGACAAGTAGACAAAATGTAAACCTTGAGCTGATGGAGAAGAGGAATGAAGCTTATTAAATCCAGGCCGGTGCATAAAGGGATAATTCCACAAAGTAAAATAACGAAAACATGAAGACCAAGATGGTGTGGCCGTCAGTATAATCGCAGTCTCCTTTCGATTTATAAGTGGGTTGACCTCGTTTTCGATAATTGGTTTTGTTGTCAGGGTGACCAAGTTGAATGCACCTTGTCCGAAGTGATCTGCTATAGCATTTATCACAATTCCCGGCGTCAGACTGTAGACTTGGCACATTCTCGGAGGTTTCGCCGGCAACGTTGTCAGTATCATCAGACAATTTTGCCAGTCCCAACAGCAAGCTAAAACTCGTCAGAGGCAAGTGCTGGGACGGTTGATCTGAGTCCTAGCTGGCTTGACTCTTTGACGAGTTCGTAACTTGGTGCGGAGAATGGCACTCACTGTGATGCTGACTACAATGCCGGTGAAACGTCTGAGAATGTACCAAGTCCACGGTCTGACGCTGGCAATTATGATTACTGCTATGGCAGAGGATTTTGAACAAGGTGCGTCCGATTAAATAGTCATGACAACAAGACCAAGTTGTGAAAGCGAGGCCAACCCACCTCTAAAATAACGAAGTGTGGCTAAGGAAACTCATGCTCAAAAGGACGAAATCATAGTTAATTCAGTTGCTCTGGATAACAAAATCAAAAGCATGACTGTCGTAAAGATGTCATAAATCCAGTACATAATGAGACAGGTCTCACCTTGCTCAAGGTCCCCTTGCGAAACAACCTGGAGGACGGTGCGGCACTAGGCATTTGGGCAAACTAGAGATTAGGATCCATGATTGGGGAATAAACGGCCGAACAGAAGCAAGGCTGTCGAATGCATGCAAAAATTGGATGTTCACGTGTCTAGGCCAATGCAACCAATCAGAAGTGAGCCCATTTCTGATTGGTACGTTAGGATTGAAGGAGTTAGTCAGACTGTCTGGGCAGTCTCTCTACGATAGCTAATTGGCTCTTGGTCATATTGATTTTTCAAGTGTTAAATTTGATTCGAAGAGAAAGTGACTTATTTGTGCTGGCTTGAGCTGTCTCGGGCTCAGGCCAGGACCAGAAGCGCCGGTCGACAGTTTGGTGAGTATGTTCATTTGCTGGATTGGCCGATCGATCGTAGTTGGGCTTGCCTGCTCTTCATTGGTTTGCACCAGTTATCCACTCTTTCTCCAACTAAAGTAGGCAATGAGATGTAGGCTAGAGGTTGCTTGACCTTGTTTTCGCAACTTGGAACACACCTAGTTCATTGTAGCCATGGTTATTTCGAGAGTAGGATCGTGGATGTGGTACATTCCCAGACGCTTCGCCGGCATCGCCAGTGAGTCTTGCCAGTCTTAGCACCACACAAAAACTCGTCAAAGAGACCGCTGAAGCCGATCCTTTGACCAAAAGTGTGCTAAACAGTTGTGGTATCTTCCCTTCTGCCATGGGCTATTCACATTTCCTATATCCTCCTATCACACCTTCACTGTTACCATTTTTACCGTGCTTATTTAAATCTAGTGTGGTGTGACCTTTTGAGCGGCTTTCATGAGAACCCTGCTCACTTCATGCTGGCGTGCTCACCCCCTTTCACTCTTGTGCTTGGAATGTTGATCAGAGTCTGCCATATTGTTACGCAGTCCTTATCACAGTCTCCCTCTTGCCCCGTAAGATCCGTCTGCTAAGAGTGACCGAGTTTGAATGATTCTCCTGAAATAACTTTTTCAGGGAGGCTTTCATTCCATATGCAAGTGCGTGATGAAGACACTCGTGGATCGATGTTACCAGAGAACGACGGCTGAGTCCAGTTGTACTACAGCCATTTGACTTTAATACGACGTTGAGGTTGACGCAGTCTACGATGCATCCTCCCTGTGATTTATGATCGGTGTTTGCGCACAGACGTCAACCTACACACACTCAAGTAAAATGAGCATGGCCAATTTTAGAGGGAATTAGCTAAATCATTATGTCTATCTAATCCCGTACATTTTCGCCATTAGTTATGAGTAGTGTCAACTTAAAACTTTGTTAGGGGACTTTCATTTTGTATGAAAGAGCATGGAGATTAGGTTTGTACGACGATCTCACCAGAACAGGACGGAGGAATCCACGACTGCGTCAGCCTGAACGTTGTTTATAAGCCAAACGGCGGCAGTACGACGGGATTCATACGTCCTCTTCTGGTGAGATCGACCTACGAATCTCTTCTTCATGCAACAACAATGTTACCTCACGGGATACATCGAAACCCAGTTTCTCTTCGTATCTATAACTTAAAACGTTTACAAGAATGCGTTCCAACTCTGAGGATCTCCTTAATCACCCGAAGCCGATGGGGATGTCTCGTGGACCGCGTCAATCTGAATGTCGTATTTAAGCCAAATGGCTGCAGTACAACACAGATCAGCCGTCGTCTTCTGGTGAGATCGACTTTTGAATCTCTTCTTCACGCAATTTCATGCCAAATACAAGTTTCCCCAGCAGAGCAAAATGATTTCCCGTCACCCACGGACGCCTGTCGATGTGTGCAGCGTAGTGACAAATTTGCGGCTCGATGAGCAAGACTTGGCTTCGATTAGGGGAGGGAAGCTCAGCGACGTGTCAATGGAATCCCGGTGTTTTCTATTCGTGAAACTTAACTATCAGTCCTTAAGGGACCAAGAAGAAGGTCGTGCAAATACCTCCTCTGCTCACCGTCCTTCGATCCTGATGAACCTGTGCTAAGATTTCGTCTGTACCTCATTAGAGCAAGAATCCATACTTCATAAACTAGCACATAAAATATTCGAAACCAGCCTGTAACCTATGCTTTTTATTTAGTTTCGTATAATCCAATAATCTTCACTCCGTGGCAATGCTCCTTCGGATTCCGGCGAGATGACTTTACGAATTCCATCCAACCAAATTTTTCTTCGAAATGGAAAGCCATGTCACGAAGGACACGAAATCTCTAACATCCAGAGCATACGTCTCTAAATGGAAGCATACATAACAGATTTCATAGCA